AAGAATCTAAGTCGTCCTGACCCCAAAGGCCATGCTGAGACTCTGGTGACACCTGGATGATACATCTGCCTCCACCTCTGCAGGCATGCCCCCAGATTCGTCCCTTGCCTAGCAGCCAGAGGGCGAGCTCAGACACAGATCCCTCTCTCGCTTCCACCTCTTCAGTGGCGTCCTAAATGGTTGCCTGAGTCTACACACCTCACCATGAGCCAGCGGGGCCCTCCCCAGCCTCCCACCGCTCCTGTCTGCTGGGCCAGCAGCTCCAAAGGCTTACCATTCCCCCCACACACCCAGCTGTTACTTTGCTCCTGCCTCCATCCTCTGTGCCTGGAGTTTCCTATCCCTCCCTATTCCCTGGCTAATCTCCATTCATTCCTGGAGAGCAGTTCTGCATCCCCTCTGCCACCCTGCCCTCCCCTGCCCCCAGCCGGGGCTGGTGCCTATCCTGTAGCTTCCCATAATTCTCTGCGCATGGGTCTTGGTGATACAATATGGTAAACTCAGGGACTCTCTGTGTATCTCTGCACTTGGTTCCCAGAAGGCTAAGATCACATTTGTTCAGTTTGGGATTCCTAAGTCCCTGGGCATGCATGGCTGGGCATCCAGATGCCTTTCAGCACAAGTTTGTTGTTTAAAAGACTAAAAGGATTTACTTGGGCCCTGTGAAAGAACCTCATGTGTCTGAGGCTATGGGTTAGATGATTCTGGGCTCCAAGAAAGTGGTGACTGTCTTGTCCTCCAGATATACCCAGCACCCTGCAATGGAACCTAGCATTTAACGGGTAAGTACAAGGGCAGATGAGCAGAATCCCAGGGGTAGCCTGTTCAGTGCAAGGGAAGGTGCTCTCTGTTGCTACGTGTGGTGAAATTCATCAGTTCTCTCCCCCTAGACTGCTCACCCTACCCTCTTTGAAGCATGCTTTTCTCTTGGCTTCCAAGACTCTATGTCCCCTGGGTTTCCTTTCCCCCATCAGCACTCCTCCACTTCTGATGACACTTCCTCCTCCTCTTCCTAACCTAAAACCATCCAAAAAGTTCAGAACCATCCTTGCCAGTCACCCTGAAATAAACAAGCCTAGCCTGAGCCATTCCTCTGGGCGCCATACCTCTCCATCAAACCACATTCCTGGCTCGTCTAGATGGAATTGTCAATCTGTCCCTACAAATATGCTCTTCTCCCAGTCAGCCCAGCTCAGGAAATACCTGCTCTCCTACCCGGGTGCTGTGGCCAGAAACCTGCCCCTTCAGCCCCTGCTCTCTTCCACATTCTGGACCCAGTCTATCCACAGGTGCTGTCACTTCCACCTCCACAATCAGCTTCTCACTTGTCTCTTCTCTCCGCTGCCACCAGCCTCATCCAGGGCACCTGCATCTCCTGCCTGGACTACAGCAGTCATTTCCTGACGGCACTCTGGGTTTCCACCCACTCTTAACCCTCTCTGAGCCATCTGGACCTATAGCAGCTGGAGGGGGCTTTTTAAAACATACTGCCTAAAACCCTCTATGACCTCTTGCTCTCTGAGGCCAATGCCAGGATCCCTTTCGAGGTCTACCAAATGTCCAGGCATTGCTGACCTCTCTGGTGGCCACTTGTGCCTCTCTTCCCTTCCAGCTACATCCCTCAGTTCCTCCAGGGTGCCAGGTTCCCATCCCCAGGGCCTTTGCGTACCTTCTTCCAGAATGTTTCTATCCTCCCTTCTCAATACTTTGCCTGTTTCACTTCCTCTCTGGTCTTAGTTTAGTTGTCGCCTCTTCCCAGGAGACTTCTCTATCCCTTCCCAGGGGGTCGCCTTCTTTTCTGTTGCTGCTTCCTGTTTGTTTCCTCTATTGTACTCCCCACAGTTTACAAATCTGCTTATTTTCCCTGCATTTCTGTTGCTTGGCATCCTCCCCCCACCCCCACTCTCTCTGTCTCCCTCTCAAGAATGCAGGCTTCCTGAGGGCAGGAAACATAACCAACTTGTTCACATCTGGACCCCAGAGAAGGGAGCACTGCCTGGCACCCAGCAGGTGCTCCACAAAATTTCAGGAGTGAATGAGTAAGGAAGCACCAGCTTTGGGGCAGAGAGAACAATGGAGTGAAGCCTTGGGTACCTCTTGGGTGGCTAAAACAGCTGCCTTTGACCTCTCTTCCTCCTAAGATCCCATGATTCTGTGTGACCCTATCCAGCCTACCACCCAAGGGATCTTAGGATGGGGAAGAGGTGCAAGTCCAAGGTGGTACCCTTCCAAAGTTTGTCAAGTCCCTTCCATATACCTAGAAACTAGCTATCCTGTCCCATTCTGCAGAGGGATAAAGTTACTAGGGGACCTGGGATGTTTTTGATAAAGGAACAAAAGATTGGTAGGGAGAAAGCATGGGAAGATGGATTCCAAAACTGCTCTGTCAGATATGGTAGCAATAGTCACATGTGGCTGTTCATCAGAATTAAATAAACATTTTAGAATTCAATTCCTCAGTCTCACTAGCCACATTTCAAGTTCTCAATAGCCACACGTGGCTACTGGCTATCGTATTAAATGGCCCGGACAGAGAATATTTACTTCATCCCAGAAAGTTCTACTGGACAGTGCTGCTCGAGAGCAACCCAGCCAAAGCATTGGCATTCCCCTCCCTACCTCAACCTGAAGGAACCAGGCAGGATGGGGTGGAGTGTAAATCAAATATGACTATATGACCAAAGCTGACCAGGGGTGCGCACCTGTCAGACCCAGGTCCCTCACACCTCTCTCTCCACGCCCTGGCCACCTGGACGTGAGCTGGCACAACTTGTGGGGCCCCTGGGGTGACTGTGTGTTATTCTGCGGTCCCCATTCCACCCTGGCAGGTCAGCCTCAAACACGGTGCTCACCTGGCCCCAGGATGGCAGTCCCCAGCCTCCTCCCTAGTCCCCTCTGGGCCCCTTCCCTTCGGGAGCCCCTAGGAAGGTCCACGCTCAAGGCGGAGGACCGGCGAGGTAGGGGCTCTCTGCTCGCCCTGGGCCGGACACGGAGGGCTGGGGAACTTCCTCTGGGGGGCGCGTGGTGGGGGAGTTCCCCTCCCCCTCCCCGCCTCCCCCCCTCCTGCTGCCCCGCCCGCAGGGCCCCCACCCGTCTCCCGCCCCCTGCCGCGAAGCTCCTGGAGGGGGCGCCCCGCCCGGCCCGGCCACCGTGCCCGCCGCACACACTCACGGAGACTCGGGAGCCACCATCTTGCGCGGTGGACGCTCTGGCCGCGGTCTCCTTGGGCTCCACTGAGCGACAGCAGCCACTAGCGGTAACCGGGGCGAAGAGGCGCCAGCAGCCGGCGAGTGCCGGGGTGGCGGGCCGGGTGGCGGCGCCCCGGGGCTCACCTGCCCCGGCTGTCGCCCAGCGCGCGCTCGACCTCCTCCGCTGCGGGCGCTGCAGCCGGAGCGACGGAGGCGAGACCTCAGGAAAGGTGTCCCGCCAGCGGGAGGGACAGAGTCATTCATTCATCACGTGCACCGGTCAGTTCTTAGAGGAGCTCACAGGCGAGAGCCAAGCAGGGCGCTAGGGAGGCACCAGCAAAATGCTTTGGGATCACACAGGAGCGCGTGGAAAGCCGTAGGTCTGCGGGGGAGAGTCTATTAGGTTTCACTGCAGGAAAAGTGAAGTTTCACCAGGACAGGGGCATCCCAGGCAGT